AATTCAACACCGCTTAATTATAAAAATTCTCAGCAAACTAGGAATAAAGGGGGAACTTCCTCAAGTTGATAAAGAATGTCTACAAAAAACCTACAGCTAACATCATACTTAATGACGTTACAACTAGAAGCTCTCCTGCTAAGATCAGGAATAAGGCAAGAATATACCCTGATGGTTTGCAAACTGGCCCCCTTTTATAGAAGGCAGGGAGAGACCAAAGAAAGAGAGATCACTCCAGATTGGTAGGTGGCAGGATGGCATTTTAAACAAGGGGATTTACGAGGCTTGTCTTGGGCAGCCACAAGACAAGTAGATCTCTGAACACACCCACCATTATCTTAAAAGTTTATACAGAGGACTTAACTGGGTTCAGTCATATAGACCATCCAGATGATCTCAACATCACATTACTATCCCAGGCTGCATACTTGGGTAGCTTCTAGCATGGGGAAGGCAAGCAGAACACACATTCCAAAGACAGGGGAGGAGGTGAGGAGCTTCTGATTGCCCAAGTCCAGCTTACAGGTTAACCAGTGGTCATGTCCTCTCAGTAATCTCTTCCAATATCCCCTCTCACCACTCTTTCAACATCATACTGGAAGTCCTAGCTAATGCAATAAAAGAAAAGGAAATAAGTGTATACAGATCAGGAAGAAATAAATAAAGCTTTCTTTGCTCATAGATTACACAATTGTTTATGTAGAAAATATGAATGGGGCTTCCCTGGTGGTGCAGTGGTTGAGAATCCACCTGCCAATGCAGGGGACACAAGTTTGAGCCCTGGTCCAGGAAGATCCCACATGCAGCGGAGCAACTAACCCCGTGCGCCACAACTACTGAGCCTGTGCTCTAGAACTGGCGAGCCACAACTACTGTGCCCACATGCTGCAAGTACTGAAGCCGGCGTGCCTAGAACCCGTGCTCCGCAACAAGAGAAAGCACCACAATGAAAAGCCTGTGCACCGCAACGAAGAGTAGCCCCCACTCGCCACAATTAGAGAAAGCCCGCGCGCAGCAACGAAGACCCAACACAGCCAAAAATAAATAAAATAAATAAATTTTAAAAAAAGAAAAAAGAAAATCTGAATGAATTGACCAAAAAACTACTGGAACTAATAAGTGATTATAGCAAGTTTGCATGATAGAAGGCTAATGCACAAAAGTCAATTGCTTTCCTATATACTAGCAATGAACAATTGGAATCTGAAATTAAAAATTATAATACCATTTACATTAGCACTCCCCCAAATGAAATACTTAGGTATAAATCTAACAAAGTATGTAGAAGATCTATACAAGGACACCTATAAAACTCTGATAAAAGAAATCTAGGAAGAGCTAAATAAATGGAGAGATATTCCATGTTCATGAATAGGAAGACTCAATATTGTCAAGGTGCCAGTTCTTCCTAACTTAATCTATAGAGTCAACACAATACTGACCGAAATCCAAGCAAGTTTTTTTGTGGATATTGACAAACTGACTTCAAAGTTTATACAAAGAGGCAAAAGACCCAGAATAGCTAGCACAATATTGAAGAAGAAGAACAAAGCTGAAAGACGGACACTACTTGACTTCAAGACTTAATTTAAAGATATAGTAATCAAGAGAGTATGATATTGGCAAAAGAATAGACAAATAGATCAATGGAAAGAAGAGAGAGTCCAGAAACAGACCCACACAAATATAGCCATGTAATCTTTGACAAAGGAACAAAGGCAATACAAAGAAGAAAAGAAAGTCTCTGACAAATGGTTCTGGAGCAACCAGACAGCCACATGCAAGAAAAATGAATCTAGGCACAGACCTTACACCTTTCACAAATATTAACTTGAAATGGATCTTAGACCTAAATATAAAACACAAAACCATAAAACTTACAGATAACACAGGAGAAAAACTAGATGACCTTGAGTTTGGTGATGACTTTTAGATACAACACCAAAGTCACAATTCATGCAAAAAGAATTGATAAGTTGGACTTCATTAAAATTAAAAACATCTGCTCTGAAAAAGACACTGTCAAGAGGCTGAGAAGACAAGCTACAGACTGGGAGAAAATATTTGCAAAAGACATAGCTGATAAAGGACTGCTATCTAATGTAAACAAAGAACTCTTAAAACTCAGCGATTAAAAAAAGAATAATCTGATTTAAAAATGAGCAAAAGATTGGAACAGACACTTCACCAAAGAAGATATACAGATGGCAAATAAATATATAAAAAGATGCTTAACATCATATGCCATTAGGGAATTGCAAATTAAAACAAGTGAGATACCATTACGTACCTCTTAGAATGGCCAAATTTCAGAACACAGACACCATCAAATGCTGGTGAGGATATGGAGCAACAGGAACTCTCATTCATTGATGGTGGGAATATAGACTGGTGTATCCACTTTAGAAGACAGTTTGGCAATTTTTTACAAAACTAACCATACTCTTACCATAAGATCCAGCAATTGTGTTCCTTGCTATTTACCCACATGAGTTGAAAACTTATGTCCACGAAAAAACCTCACGCAGGTATTTATGGCAGCTGTCTTAGTCCATTCAGGCTGCTATAACAGAATACCATACATAGACTGGGTAGATTATAAACAACAGAAATTTATTTCTCACAGCTTTGGAGGCTGGGAAGTCCAACATCAAGGGATCAGTAGATTTGGTATCTAGTGAGTGTCCACCTCCTGGTTCCTAGGCAGCCACCTTCTTGTTGCCTCCTCACATGGTGAAGGGGCAAGGGAGCTCTCTGGGGTCTCTCTTATAAGGGCACTAATCCCATTCACTAGGGCTCTACTCTAATTACCTAATCACCTCACAAAGACCCCACCTCCAAATACCATCTTTAGGGATTAAGTTTCAACATATGAATTTTGGGGAGATACAAGCATTCAGGCTATAGCAGCAGCTTTATTCGTAATTGCCCAAATTTGGAAACAAGATGTCCTTTATTAGGTGAATAGATGAACTGTGGTACATCCAGACAATGGAATATTATTCAATGATAAAAAGAAATGAGCTATCAAGTCATGAAAAAACATGGAGGTGGGCTTCCCTGGTGGTGCGGTGGTTGAGAGTCCGCCTGCCGATGCAGGGGACTCGGGTTCGTGCCCCGGTCTGGGAAGATCCCACGTGCCGCGGAGCGGCTGGGCCTGTGAGCCATGGCCGCTGAGCCTGCGCGTCTAGAGCCTGTGCTCCGCAACGGGAGAGGCCACAACAGTGACAGGCCCGCGTACCGCAAAAAAAAAAACCAGAAGAAACCATGGAGGTTTCTTAAATGCATATTACTAAGTGTAAGAAACCAATCTGAAAAGGCTACATACTGTATGATTCCAACAATAAGATATTCCAGAAGAGGTAAAACTATGGAAACACTGAAAAGATGAATGGTTGCCAGGGGAGAGGGAGGGATGAACAGGTGGAGCATAGAGGATTTTAGGGCAGCAAAACTATTCTTTATGATACCATAATGGTGGATACGTATATATCACATATTTGTCAAAACCCATAGATTGTACACCACCGAGAGTGAACTCTAATGTAAGCTATGGACTTTGGGTGATAATGATTTGTTAACATAGGTTCATCAGTTGTAGCAGATGTACTACTCTGGTGGGATATGGATAGTGCGGGAGGCTGTGCATGTGCAGGGGCAGGAGGTATATGGGAACTCCCTGTACTTTCTCTTTAATTTGCTGTGAATCTAAAACTGCTCAAAAAATAGCCTATTTAAAAACAAACAAAAACAGGAAAAAACAACTGACACCAGGGATATAAGATTGCTTTGTACCTGGCAAAATGCTACATACACATGAGGGTTATTATGGCTTGAAGAGGCAGGTGCCTGCACTTTGTGGGCACAGCATGTGGCATTTGCATTGATATGCTCAGAAAGAGAACATCTTTCGGAGCCGGGTTTTCTTTCTCTAAATAAAGTTTGTGTGCTAGAGGCCAAGGTTGACACTTTTTAGAGGTGACAGCCACTTTCCTGTCATTCTTCCTTCTGCCCTAACACACAGGTATGTAAATGTCTCAGGAGGGGTAAACTTAAGCTTTGTGAATTAACTCCTTAGAAATTATTAATGGCAGAACTGGCCTGAGGCCACTTCCCCTCTCTGGGCCTCAGTTTCCCTGCTTAAAAAAGAAAGTGGTTTTCGATGTTTTCTAAGACACTTTCCCTCTCTGAGCTTCTGTGATTCTTCTCTCAGTTTCTCCAATGAGCCAGGCTCTCTCTAGCTTGTAGTTCTTTGGACGTGTGGCTCCTTCCACCAGGACCACTGACCCCACTTGCCTGGTTTACTGCTTGCTCTTCTGTCTTTCTGGTTTCAGCATAGACATCACTTCCTTGGGGAATTCCTCTTGACCTCTCTAAACAGAATAAGCTGCCCCTTCTCCATGCTCCCATAGCCCCCACTCAACCTCCGTCTCTGTACTTAATACACTAAGTGGTAATTTTCTGTTTACTTGACGCTTCCCTGCTCTGCACTGCACCCTGCCGAGAGCAGAGTGTTGTATTCATTACTCTACCCCCAGTGCTAAGTGGAGGCGCAGTTCCAGATTTCCCAGTTCTGTCTACCTGGAGAGCTTCCAGACCCACATCCTCTGGGAAGGGTTGTGCCTCCAGAAACTCTCAACCACCAGCTAGAAGCTGTGAGTGGGAAAAGCATCCTTCAGTAGGAAAGAACAATTTACGTTATTAAAAGACTACTTAACATTAGAACTTACTTACAGCAGAGCCTTTCTAAAGAAACACAGAGTCCCTCTAAGTGTGACCTTTTAAAGTTTTTGTGTTTAAAATTTATCAGAGGGAGAATTTAAGATCTGAAGTTTCCCAGTCCAAGTATCTCTCAAAGGCTAAGGCAAAGAATCAGAAATGATCATTAGAACAGACCTTTAGCACCTGGCTTGGAATTTTCCATTCCACTGACAGGAAGGCAAACACCTTCTGTCCTGGCACCTTCTTCATATCCGGGTTGGCTGCTGCTACCCTGCACCTTTGTTCAGCTCCACCCCTTGTGGCCCGGCGGTTTCCGCTCTGCCCACCAGCCTCAGAGCCAGCTCTGGCTCTGCCATAATGGGGCTGCCCCTGCCAGGGCTGTGGCTGAAGAGGCTCTGGGTGCTCTTTCAGGTGGGCCTGCACGTGGCCATGGGCAAAGTGCTTCTGACACTGTTTCCCAGAAGAGTCAAGCAGAACATCCTGGCCATGAGTGAGAAGACTGGCATGGCCAAGAATCCCCACTTCTCCTATGAAAACTGGATACCCACTTTCTTCAGTGCCCAGTATTTCTGGTTCATCCTGAAGGTCCGTTGGCAGCGACTGGAGGACATGACGGAGCAAGGGGGTCTAGCCCCAAACTGCCCCGTGGTCCGCCTGTCAGGACAGAGGTGCAACATCTGGGACTTCATGCAAGGTCAGGAAGCTGGTCCAAGCTTGAGAGGTGCTTGGATGGGGGTGCTTGATGGGGGTGGGCAGGTGGGTTGGAAAGCCTGAATGCTACTAATCCAGCTGCTTCTTTTTTGGCTTCTTGTCCTCTTCCCACTTCCTGAAACTAGCACCTCTCCTGGGTTCTGTTCTTCTAAGTGGCATTGTCCCCTTCCCAGGCAATCAAACCACAAACCATCCACACTGGCTGTCAGCTCCTTCGGCACCTCTCTTACTGCACAGTCACTCTGCCTGGGATGCTCTTCACTGCCGCCCCACCCTACCCCCCACCCCACACCTGGTCCACTCTTGCCCAGTGACACTTCCTGAGACAAGCCAACCCCCGGTCCCCTGGCCTACTCCCTCTTCTATGCTTAACATCCTAAACTTTTCTTTATCACACCCATTGTGGTTTGTAATTATGTGTGGGTATTTGATTAATGTCTGTCCCCTTCACTAGCCTGCAAGCTCTGTGCAGGTGGAGATCATGCCTCTAACTCACTATTAGGTCCCCCTGGCTGCTGCTGGCTCATGGTAGTTGCTCAGTAAATATTTGTTGAAGATTCTCTCTCTCTCTTTCTCTCTCTCTCTCTCTCTCTCTCTCTCTCTCTCTCTCTCTCTCTCTTCCAGGCAAACCAGCTCTATTTGGGTTCTTAAAGGCCTCTCTGGTCAGTTTTCCCTTTTTGTCCTTCCTCCTCCCCGTCTTGCCATCTCTTCCCACCGAACTTGTGGATGGCTGCCAGATTCCCCTTCCACAAGCACATCCCTGGATGACTGGTACCCCAGCTCACCAACCTTCAGCAGCCCCCATCTGCATTTGGGATGAAACCCAGGCTCAGCCTTGTGCTGAAGGTCCTCCCTGATCTGACTCCAGTTTTTCTTCCCAACTTCATCTGCAGGCTTCCCCTCAGGCCCACTGCCTCCAGATGAACTGCTGGTTCTTGTACATCCTTTGTGCTTTCCCTTCTCTTTGTCTTTGCTGGTGTTGTTGGCCCTTCCCCTCTGTCACCAACATTCCTCATCGTCAGGGTCCTGCTCTCGTGCCTCCCCCTGTGAAGCCAGCTCAGATCCCTACACTGAGGCCCGCTCTCCCTCCCTTCTGAACTCATGGATCTCTGCCTGCACCTCTCCTGGACATTGATCCTTCCTACCCAGCACCCGGCTACCGAAGCTCAAGTGTCATCCTTCTGCCCAGTGGGGAGGCTTGGGACAGGGCTGTGTCTGATTCATCTCTGAATTCTCAGGGTACAGACACAGCAGAGTAGAGAAGGCCCCTGAGGCAGCTGGCTAATCTAGTGATTTTCAAAGCGTGTTTTTTGGAACCCAAATCCCACACATGTGCTTTACTACATAGAGTTCCCTGGTCAAAATAGTTTGGGAAACGCTGCATACTATACTCTCCTCCTGGAAGTTCATCGTGCACATGAACATATAAAAGGCTCCAAGACACGCTGAAGCTTAAAAACAAACAAAACTTGAAAAAACTTTGACACAGCACTGACTACTTTTCCTAACATACACATACAACTCCCCACTCTCCACCAGAGGAAAATCTTATCATCATCATACTGGTTCCAAAGGACAACCTCTGGGAAAGGCTGACCTGATCCAATGTTTTCATTTTAAAACGGAAATGGAGGAAACTGAGAGCAAAGGTTACAGGGCCGGTGAGAGACCAAGTCAGACCCAGAATCAGGGCTTCTTCACCCTGTTTTTTCAATACACCTCAACAAACATTTGTGAGTGTTCCCTATGAGCCAGACCCTTAGCTAGATGCCAGGGACTCAGAGCTAGGAAAGAGCTTGCTGTTTTGCTTGAGGAATGTATGGTTCCACGGAACAGACAGATGTAATAAACAAATCCGTACAGTTCCGTGAGGCGGGCAGACAAAGGTATGAACTTTGCCTACAGGGCTTGGAAGATTTCCTGGAGGAAGTGGCTTTGGAGTTAGGCCTTGAAGAATGAGTAAGATTTTTATAGCTTGAAAAGAGTGTTGCAATCAGACGGAAGGGGAAGAGTTTTTTGCTCATGACTTTAAACCATTGTGCTGAAATGACCTCTATTTATTCAATAAACATTCACTAAGTGACCACTGATAATAAGAGCAATGAAAGTAATAGCTAATCTTTACTGTGCGTCTACCTCGTGCCAAGCACTGTGATAGAACCAGGCCAATTTGCTGACTTTTGATGGTCTAGTGATCAGTTCCATGAAAGCCAACTTGCCTCACGGCCAATTCACAGCATTCACTTGCTTATTTTAACTGTTTACTTTCCAGTGAGCCAGTGTACATTTTAAAGACTGTTCTATTTGTCTCTGCTCCCTGCTGCTACACCTGAAACTGAAGATGGAGAGAGAAGGAGTTTGAGAGACAAAAGAAAACTCTATTTATAAAATAGAGTTGGCTTTCAGCACATTGGCCCAGAGTCCCCTGAAATAATAGATACTGACGACACAGAAATCAACACAACTGGAAGATCTCATAACTCACAGAGGGAGATGATGGAGCGGGAGAGGGGACCCAGCAGTTCTGGGAGGAGTCAGGTGGGGTAGGAAGGTGGCCAGGGGAAGTTTTCCTGGAGAAGAGGATGGTGAGCTGCTGGTCTAGGGACCGAAGCCTTGAGGTGGGTGAGGAAGAGGAGAGTGGTGACCGGAGCCGCGCAGAGGGGAGGAGCAGCAGAGGTCTGATATGTGGAGGGGCTTCAGTCAGTTTGGCAGAAGTGGGGTGTGGGAGGTATGAAGGGGTGAAGAATGAGGCTGGAGACATCATCAGGGATCAGAGCTTGTGGGGCCTCATGCGTCTTAGCAAAGAGGGTATCCTTTATCCTGTATTGGTGAGTTCTAGAAAGATTTTCAAGCAGGAAGTTAACATGATCAGTTCTGCTTATTAGAAAGACATCCTGTAAGTGTTTTGGAAACCCATCAGTTCACTAAAAAGCTCTGTTGTATGCTTTGGGTATAAATATGAACTCATTTGAGAGTCACAGACTGGAAAGTCTGGAAAACTCTTTACAGATAATCTAAAGCAACCTTTACATTTTTCAGATGCAAAGGCCCAGGAAGGTAAAGGACTTGCTCGGAGTCACACAGAGAGTTCTTGTAGAGTGAGAACCAGCCTTGAGCCTTAGGACTCTCAGCTAGTGTACATTCTGTTGTTGGATAAAACAACAGAGGCTCAGAGCAATTCCCAGCCACCTCTTATCCTCTGCATGTACGTGCACACACAAGACATACACACACTCTCAGACACACATGTACCGCAAAACATTGATTAACTGGCATGTTGGGGTAGAAGGCAAGTCCGGATGATTTCTTTTCTTGGAACCTAGCAGTTAATCTGAAACAGGATTTATTTCAGCCCCATTTAAAATCTTCTAGAGTCTCTCCAGGTATACTTATGAGGGGTCAACTATAAACTAGCTTTCTCTGCTGAGAGAGCCTGGCGTAGAGAGCTGATTTACTGGTTTGGGGGTCAACCAGTAAGTTAACCAACAGTGGGTTCGAGTCTAGTGCTACCACAGAGCCGTTTTCCCACTTACACAAACAAACTGGACTTGACAGTCTTGCCTGATGTTCTTGAACTGGTGTCCCCTGCACTGCGGCCTGTGGACACGGGCAGGCTGCCAGCACCCCATACAGCCACCCTCTTGCGCCCACCCTTCCCCTCTCTGCTAGCAGGAAAGCAGGGAACTAAGTTTAAACTTTGCCCTCACTACTGGTCACTGCACCCAGACACACTATAAATAATTAAACCAATGGCTCTGCTTCTTCCAGTGTCCTAACCAGTGGATGGTGAAATTTTTTTATCCAATTGAGAACAAAATTCCAGACAGCTCACGTTTTGCACAGGTCCTGACCTTAAATCTCCTCTGTTCTTATCTGAAGGGTGACTCCCTGGGGTCACTGGAGGCCAGTGGCCGGCCACTTGGCCATGACTGGCCTCTGAGCCTCTCCTGCTGTGACCTGGGCAAACCCTTCACATGGGTGCGGATGCGACCAACTGAGGCCCTCTCAATGCCTCCTAGGGCCTCCTATGAGGAAATCTGTGAGACAAGGACGAGGAGAACTTTGTATCTCCAGAGAAACTGGCCTGCTTCCTCCTCAGGTACTGAAAAATGAGGAATATATAAGTAATCATGTTTCTCCTTTTCCTTGGCCACCTGGAAACTCAGAGTCAAATATTAGCTCAGTTATAATGAATGCATGAGACCTGTTCTGTGCCTCTCAGAGCGCCATGGTTTTTTTTAACTTTTATTTGATATTTTATTATCATATGTATAAATAATACTTTTATTTTTTATATGTATAAGCTGCTTCAAATCCTTTGCAGAACGAGGTGAGGGAATAACTAACACAATAAGCCACAAGTGAGTTAAGATGCCCTCTACTCCCCATCCATCAACAAGTCCTGTCAGTTCTACCTTTTCCCCTTCCCCACTGCACACAAACTAGCCCAGACTCACATTATTTCTCATGTGGATTCCACCAACCCCCCCTAACTGCCTCCATTCTCACCCTCAGTCCTTTTGCCACTGAGCAACCAGAATGATCTTCAAGTGTAAGCTGACAACTTTCCATCTCACAGCCTACTGTAGCAGTCAGAGTTCTGCCTTGCAAGCAACAGAAACTCACTCTGATTTTCTTAGTCATACACATTTACACACGTACAAAGTGTATTAGAAAGATGTTGCAGGCTCCCCAGAATCAACCACAGCTGGAGCACTGGGCCTGGACCATCTTTTAGCATCAACAGTTGGGCCTGGAAGCTGCTGTCACTGTGATTGCCATGGGAATTCGTCACCACTATAGGACTCCACCATCCCTGACGGGGCACTACCACTGGGCCGTGGATGAATTCTACCATCTCAATGACTCCAGAATCAAAGAGCTATGTGAGAGAGTCCAATCGGCCTGGGTCACTGCCTGTGCCCTAGCTGCTGGGAGCGAGAATGGACCTGGCCCCCCTGCCTTCTACAGAGCAAGGCTGGGCGCGCTCCCCCATTAATAGTACACAAAATATAAATTCCAAGGAGGAAGGAGGGCTAGAGACTGAGCAGCCAAAATTGTAACAAATATCCAGCATCCTTACTTTATCTCCATGATGTCCCCTTGTACCTGGAAGAAAATCCAGCTGCTATACAAGGCATAGGAGCTTGCCTGCTTTGGCCCATACCTACCTCTCCAGTCATGTCTCTCATTGCCCCTGGCCTGGTTCCAGTCACAGTGGCCTTGCAGGTCCTTGAACACACCAAGCTCTGCTCTTCTTTGGGCCTTTGGACATGGAGCCCCTTTGCCTGGAATGCTCTTCTCCTCCCTTTGCCCATATGTAGCTGGCTCCTTCCTGTTTCTCAGGATAAATGGCATCTCCTCAGAGTCCTCCCCTGACCCACCTGTCTTCAAGGAGGTCACTCCTTTATAGTCTCTTTTGTGTCGCTTATCACAACTTGAGATTACTTCATTGATGCTTTTGCTTGCTTCCTGCCTGTCTCCCCATTAAACAGAACTCCAAGTGCATGCAGGCAGAGACCTGCTGCTCTCGCTGTCTGCTGAATCCCCAGTGTGTGGCAGAGAACCTTGCGCATTATGAGCGCTGAATAAATGCTTGTAATGGAATGAGAGTGTGCTTGATGTTGGGGATATGAAGAAGAATGAGGGACAGGCCCTACCCTCAGGTGCAATGAGTAGCCTGGGGGATACAGACACAAACCGGCCATGTCACAGTGCGGGACCTGCCATGCTCTATCTAATAGGTGCACGGTAAGGGTTCAGCGATGTCAGCTCTGGTCATAAGTAGCCACGGGGTGCTAGCAGCTCCCTAGAGTTATCCCCAGTCTAGACTGGGGGAGTTACAGAAGACTCCCACCAGGGCTGACTTCATGGGCGCGGGACTAATGAATCATACAGGGTGCCATGTTCAGAAGGGCCCTGAGCTTGGGCTGAATGCTCTGCAGTAGCTGTCTTGAAATTCTTAATAGCTTTATCTTTTTTTTTTAATGTATTTATTTATTATTTTTTTATTCATTTATTTTTGGCTGTGTTGGGTCTTTGTTGCTGCGTGCGGGCTTTCTCTAGTTGCAGCGAGCGGGGGCTACTCTTTGTTGCAGTGCACAGGCTTCTCATTGCAGTGGCTTCTCTTGTTGCGGCATGCAGGCTCAGTAGTTGTGGCTCACGGGCTCTAGAGCACAGGCTCAATAGTTGTGGCGCACGGGCTTAGTTGCTCCGTGGCATGTGGGATCTTCCCGGACCAGGGCTCAAACCCGTGTCCCCTGCATTGGCAGGCAGATTCTTAACCACTGCGCCACCAGGGAAGTCCAATAGTTTTATCTTTAATTTGCATTTTGTAAGAGAAGACTTTTCCACAATGGAACATGCCCTGGACACCTGGAGCCTTGGCTCACACAGGCTCCTGCTTCCCACAGCCTCCCTGCCCCCAACATGTTCTCTAAGGCCCACTCCTCCACTCCCAGTGCCCCAGCCTATCCAGCCTCATTCCTGCTCCCACCCAGTGACTGCTACCACCTTCTGGCCCCAGAGAGGGCCTGGACCAAGGTATGGGAAAGGTTAGGGTCAGGTGTGGGCATCCCACCGCATCTCATACTAGGGCGTGGAGGTGGTTATCCCTAGCCTGGGCTGACAGCGCCATGAAGCAACTTGGCAAGTGACTGGGGGTGACTTGGCAGGAGAAGCTTTTTGCCCCCTCTCCCCTCATCAAGGTACCTAGCATGTCCCTGCATGGAGGTTGCAATAGTCTGTGGGTTGGGGTGATGGCAGGTAGGAAGATGATATGTCTGGCTCAGTTTCTGTGCTCCTGGCTGGGGCATGGTGTATTGGTCTGGTGGCTGGAGGGAAAGGAAAGCTGGTAGCCAGCAGCCACAAGCACACGTACACATGTGCACAGAGTTTGGGGGCTCCTGGGTGACTGTGAGAGTCTGCATTCGCCCTATGAATATCCCTGTGTCCAGGGGAGCATGACATTAAACAGCAACTGAAAAGCAGCATGCCAGGGCAAGAGAGATACTGCACAAGAAAACTTTATATTTTAATGTATTTAACGGCACTTTCTCCCACTTTTTGAACAAGGGACCCTGCATTTTCATTTTGCCCTGGCCCAGCCGATTATGTGGCCAGTCCCCACGCTTCACTCCCCTTTGTGGAGTCTCCTCCACTGCTCCCCACTTCACAGGGAGGAGATGAGAGCTAAGAACATAAGAGCTTACATTTATTGAGCACCTACTATGGGCAGGCACCATTTTAAGCCCTTTTCTGTTTTAACTTATTTAATCCTTAGAACAATCCTATAAGGCAAGTATTGGTATTATGTCCATTTGTGGGTGAGGAAACTGAGGTGCTTTGAACGGAAAGAGCACCAAATTGAGAATCTAGAAGCCACAATGTTAATTTTAATTCCATCATTGACCTGCTGTGTGACATGGAGCCAGCCTATAAACCAGGGGGGAAAAATCACCCACCTTGTAGTACACCAATTACATCAATGAGAGAATAGATGTGTGCCTGCCTTATAAACTGCATGAAAGGGACTCTCCTTGTCATTATTTTAATTACCACCCAGTGAGTGCAGGTGGTCTGCTGAGACCCCCTGATAGAATCCCCTCATTCTGGAGTGGAGTCAACTGGCTCCAGCCTCTGCTAAATCACGCGCTCTAGGCTTCCATCCCGCACTGTGCCCTGGCTCCATCTTAGAGGGGAAATAGAGGTAACAGAATGAAAGCAGGAGTGAAGATGGTGCTTGCAAAAGAAATGCTGTGTGTCGATTATTGGTTGATCGTGATTCTATTTGTTTCAGGCAACAGGCCACTGGTGCTGAATTTTGGAAGTTGCACCTGACCTTCATTTATTTTCAAGTTTGACCAATTCAAGAGACTTATTGAAGATTTTAGTTCCATAGCAGATTTTCTCATCATTTACATTGAAGAAGCACATGCATCAGGTAAAAAAAAAAAAAGATTTCCTGCCTCCACCTCTTCCCTCTCTCTCTCCCACCTTTGCTCAAGGTTGGGGGTAGGGAGAAGAGGAGGAGAGAGAGAAAGAGCCGCTATTTGTTGAGGACCTACCATCTCCCAGTCCCTGCTAGGTTTACCCACCACTCGCTAACTCCACAGTCTGTGCTCTCAACTAGGCACACAGAGCAGAAAACCTGGAGCGACAGGTCTAGCTGGGAGAGCATCTAACATTCTGAATGGATAAATAGGGAAACCAAGGGAGAGGAGCTAATATGAGCACAGTCACAAGGAATTTAGACCTGAAATGTCACAAGTGAAATGGCTGCTCTATAGCAACCTGTGAAATCCATTCCAAGCCTCTCCAAGCTCAAAGGGACTTTGTGGTTCATCTCAGACAGTGGTTCCCAAGCGTCAGTGAGCACCAGAAGCGCCTGGAGGGCTTGTTAAAGCAGACTTCCGGACCCCACCCCAGAGTCTGAGTTAGATCTGGGGTGGGGCCTGGGAATTTCCATTTCTAACCAGCTCCGGGTGACGCTGAAGCTGCGGACGGGGGACCACACTTTGAGGACCACTGCTCTGGGCCAGCTTCTACCTGGGGCTGGGATCCTTTCTTCAGCCCCTAATAGGTGATGACGCATCTTCATTACCTCATGAGAAATCTTGCTCCTTTGCTACACAGCTCTGTTTGTGAGAAAGTCCTTCCTTACAATGGGCAGACATGTCCCTTCCTGAAACTTCTACAGCTTGGTCTAAGCCCCTTGAACTTTATAAGATGGTCAGACACATCCCTGTCTCCCTGATTTTCATGCGGACTGAACACATGAGTTTGGCCCAAGTCTCAAACCCAGAGATTGGAGAAGGCAAGAAGGCTCATGTGGCTAAGTGGGACGAGTCCTTTACTCACCCATCTCCCCACAAGATGAGAGGCTGTTTTGATCATCTGTCACCCAGCACCTGGCACAGTGCATGTCACAGAGTCAGTGCTCAGTAATAGTTGGGTGAATAAGTGAGAATTTAGGCCAGTATTAGCCTTGCTGGCTTATCCATGTGTTGTAAGCGTAGACACTGCTATTGATTAGTTTTCAGCAAAGCTGGTCCAGCAGCCCTTTCCCCAGTGTGGTCCTTAGATCCCTCATGTCTGATCCATCTGGGTTGCTTGTTGAAAATGCATATTTCAGGGCCCCACCCTAGGCCCACTGCATCTTAATTCATGTGAACCCAGAGGTTGGAGAACTGCTTTCAACCTAACACTGTGTTCATTTAGCTGGCCATTTCTATCCTCATGTAAGGCTTTGGGGCAACTTAAAATATTAGCGTAGGGTAACAGGTACATGGAGATTCATTAAACTGTTCTCTCTACTTTTACATATATTTGAACATTTCCAAAATAAAATTCAAAACAAACAGCATAGGTATCAGGAGAGCAAAGGCAAGCACAATGTGTCTCTTTGTTAAAGACCCTTCGGGAGAGCAGCTGCCGTCAATTAAAGAAAGAGAACTTGGGCACCTACAGGTGTCTGTGGTCTCCACCGTTGAGAAGAGGCGATGCCTTGATGTTCTCATAGCTGATGGCCAAAGCGCTGCCGAAGCTGATTTACCTGTGGGGTCAGCGCTGCTCAGTCTTTAAAGTGCACTTAAGTCACCTGGTGATCTTATAAAGATGCAGGTTCTGGCTCAGTGGGGCTGCGGAGGGGCCTGAGACTTGGCATTTTTACGCAGCTCCCCAGGTGGTGCTGAGGCTGCTAGCGCAGGGACCACACTTGGAGTAATAAGGTGGTAGAGGATCCTGCTTTGAGCTCTAAAGGTACACATTGCAACAAAAGGGGTTGGATCCTCCCAGAAATTGTTTCTGGTCCTGATACCTGTCTCCTCCCCCATTCTCCTGGAATCAGACTAGCAGGTTTAACCCTTTCCTGGACCCAGGGCTGTCCACCTCAAGCCACTGAGAAATTTCTCCTGAAAGCTGGGTTTCCTAGGGGAAAGGTACTGAGCAGAGAGGACTCTGAAGCATGGAGCAGGTGGGGCCAGTTCTGCTGATGGAGTTCAGCAACTTATATTACCCTGGGAGGCAACTATTAGTATAAATGCAAGCCACGTGGCTTCTGAAAGAACCTTCTACCCAAGTAGAAGGGCAAGGCCAGTAGCAGTTTATGGTTATTTTTTCAACCTGTGGGCCCATTAGCTAATGAGTACCCTCTCTTTAAGTAGGCAGATGGGCACCTCGCAAACGAGGCCAATTGAAAATCCCCTTCCATTTAAAGTGAAGCAGCTTAAATGGGTTTGGTTTGGGGGTGGGGGTGGGGCATCTCCAGAGCAAAGTAGTAGAATACCTGCAGTATAGAATGAAAACTGCAAAAAAAAAAAAAAAAAAGAAAAAAAAGAAAACCGGCTTCTTTCCCACCTGTCTGCTATTTGGGGGCAGTCAGGCAAAACAAACCAATATCTTTCAAGCACCTACTATGAACCAGGCAGAGTACTGGGAATTCTGCAATGTTCTCTCATGTAGGCCTCACAGCCATCTGCAACGTAGGTTCTGTTAATCCCATTTAACAGATGGGAAAACTGAGAATTTAAAGAGCTCGCCCAATATCACACAGCTGGGTGTGTCAGGGAAGGCTTCCTGGAGGAGATGGTGTTACAGCAGTGGTTCTCAACTGAGGGTAATATTTGTCCTGCAGGGGTATTTTGTAATGTATGAGACATTTTTGGTTGTCACGAATTGACGGCAGGGGGACGCTACTGACATCTAGTGAGTAGAGGCCAGAGATGATGCTCAGTGCCTTACAACACACAGGACAGCCCCCGTATCAAAGAATTATCTAGCCCAAGTTGTCAATAGTGCCAAACTGGAGAAGTCCTCCATCTGCAACCCTCAGTTAAAAGTGTGTGTGGCGGGGGTGTATTTGGCCGGCAGGAAGTAGGTGCCATGCCTGTGGGGCTGCTGTCCGGCCTTTCTCTTACAGATGGCTGGGCTTTTAAGAACAACGTGGACATCAAGAATCACCAGCATCTCCAGGACCGCCTGCGGGCAGCCCGCCTGCTGCTGGACAGGAGCCCCCAGTGCCCCGTGGTGGTGGACACAATGAAGAACCAGAGCAGTCAGCTCTACGCAGCGCTGCCTGAGAGGCTGTACGTGCTCCAGGACGGCAGGATCCTGTACAAGGTGGTGACCTGGGGCAGGGCGCCAGGGAGGGCGAGGACAAAGACAGGACTTTGTATCAACGCTCAGAGAAGGAAACTGCCTTGCCCAAGGCCACACTGCACAGGCTCTGATTTCAATTCCAAATCCTCTGGGATGGGATAGGAGTGGCAGGGTTTGAAGCTGCTAATCCCTGAGACAGGCCTGAACGTGGAAGGGGGTGTAGAGGCCAGAAGAGAACCAACTCTGCAGTTAGGAGCTGGAAATGCTGAAGCAGGAATTCGAGACAGGCATTACGTCCAGGCTTCTTTTCTGGTGATTGTGTCACCACCCTTCAGTGCTTCCAGCCTGGCGAGGGTGAGGGGAGTAAGCATAGCCTCCAACCCCGTGGGCACTGGTAGCCTCCCCTGAGAGGATGGAAATTAAGTTTTATAGCTGCTGAAGGGATTCAAGCCTTGGCAAGCACATGAAGCCCAGCCATGTGGATGCTCCTCTGCCCTTTGTAATGGAAGTGCCCCCGATTCTCCATTCACACCCTTCGCTATCATGCCGCAGGGCAACTGTTTTCACTCACCATGCTCACGTGGTCAGGCAGGCCCTACTCACACAGGTGAAACAAGCAACAACCTGCAGATGCATCCTCAGGGTGCTAAGGGTCACAGGACGAGGATTCAGGTCCTTCTTCCTTTCCTCTCTCCTGTGGCATGGTAGTAAAGTGGCACGATTGAGGCAAGCTAGGTACCGAGTCCCTACCCTGGAAAGCGCTGTAAGCACAAACACAAATTTAAAATGGCCCACATCTTACTTCAGGGTGCTCACAGTTGAGGTGATAAGGAAGACACAAATAGAACGTTAACTTGGCCCGAGTGCTGTGAGACTCCAGAACAGGGATCAGCAAAGCTTTTCTGTAAAGGGTCAGATAGTAAATATTTTCAACTTTGTGGGCCAGATAATCCCTGTCGACATGGTTCAGTTCTGCTGTTATAGCACAAAACCAGCAAAGACAATATGTAAATGAAAGGGTGTGAGACATCAGGACAGATTTAGCTCTCAGACTATAAATTTTCTGAATGTCGGGGAAAGGTAGGCCTTTCAGAGGAGGTGACAACTGAAGCCAGCCACGTGAACATGGTGAGTGAAAACCATTGCAAATATAGGGGAGAGGGTGGGGAGAGGCACTGAGACACGTTAGGGAAGGGTGTGAGTGGAGAATCGGCAGCACTTCTGTTACAAAGGGTTCATTCTGGACCAAGGAGTTTGGCCTACTTCTTAGGGCAAAAGAGAGCCACTGAAGAGTTTTGAGCAGGGGAGAGGCACAATCAGATCGGTACTTTAGAAACATCATGGCCTATTGGGTGAAGAATGGACTGGAGAGAGCAGGGGCTGAGGACTGGGGGTGGGGGGAGGTGTGGCAGCTGCCCAAACAGAAGATGAAGAGGGCTGAACTGGGGCTGTGGGGGTGGGGGGAGGTGTGGTAGCTGCCCAAACAGAAGATGAAGAGGGCTGAACTGGGGCTGTGGGACTGGAGAGGCAGAGGTAGTTTGATGTAGAGTGGGCAGAACTTGATGAGAGGTGGAGAAGTAGATAAGCCTGGTCTGAAGGTCTGACTGTGGAAGAGAAGCTTATTTGTATAGACCCCTTTCTCCTTTTAAAACTATTCACTTTACCTGCTCTGGGTTTCCTCCTGCTTCTCTGTCCAGTCTTCCCATTAAGTGTTGGTGCCACTCCACACGGGTGATCTCAACCACCTCATGGGTGCCTGCCTTGACTACACCATCCTGACGACTCCCACATGTATATCACCAGCCCAGATTTCTCAGTTAAGCTCCAGACCTACATATTCCTGCAAGGTGGAAATCTGGAAATGCTGACTCATTTTTCTTGCAGGGTAAACCTGGCCCTTGGAACTACCGTCCAGAAGAAGTTCGTGCTGTTCTGGAAAAGCTCCACAGTTAATCTGGACAGATCCCCCAGTTCTAGGTGCTCAACAAGAGGTCTTCTCAAGGCTTGGCTTGCCCCCCATCCCAGCTGACATTTACCTCTTGACCTGTGTCCCCATCGGAATCACTAGCCCAGATTTTTCTTATCCAAGCAAACAACTGTTACAATGAGAAAATGAAGCTGCAAGTGAGCTGAGTGTTAAAGAAGGTACAACTCCACACTGCCCCCACCGTGGAGACCTTGTTCATTGCACAACGTCTCAGCGTGAGAGCAGGCGCACTCCCTGGGCTTCCTTCTGAACATCCAGCCACTCCACTATGGCATTCCTTAAATGAAGTAACTTCATTTTACCAAATTTGCCATTTATGGAATTGATAATTTAATAACTAGATTGGTTTTTAGAACTAAGCATGGGGATAACTCCAGGTGTTTAGAGAGAGATGAGGAATTTAAAGAGAAAGGAGTAGGAATGGGAGCAGACAGTACAAATGGGAACGCTTCCCTTGCCAAAAGATTTAAACCAGAAAGTGGTGGGCGTGATGAGAGGTGAGTTTCCCTGGTAATATGTCTTCAATTCTACTGTAGAAGAGGCGGGTACTCACTTTACCATCTTTGAATATATTTCATAGAAGTCTGGCTCTCCATACCTGGGAATCTTCTACTATCTTCACTTACCAAGAGCCACTTGTGGGGAGGACTGGCTTCCTAAAAACATTATAACCTTGACCCAACTAGACCATAGGCACTACAGAGCTGTCATTCAGTTATGCAGAAGCTCAAATCTGAAATTCTGCTTCTCTGATTTCTTCACAAGTCTCCTAATGGTCATTTGTGTTAGATTACATCAGACTAATGGATAACCATTGGTATTGATCTGTTTTAACTCTGCCTCTTTTCATATTTGTTTATGACGGCCACAGCCTAAAGTACACACAGCTGTGACTTGATTTGAAAGAAAATGTTTTAAGATGCAGCAAGCTAATACAGAATGATTAAAAAATATCAGGCTATTTTAGATGGCTTCAGTGTGATATTTACACTGTCTTTTCTAATGTGTGTCAGCTTGGTCTAGCTTTTATTATAGACCAATGTAATCTGATCAGCAAAAATAACATATGTTGGAAGGCCCTCCTTTGGAGGGAAGAACACTCAGTCTCTATGTGTTACCTGTCTAACATGGTTTTGTCTTGTGAGCTCCTTGCCAGAGAGCATCCATATGGGAGCCATATTACGTTCACAACATGACATAATAGAATGGACTTGGGAAGCATTTTTTCTAACATGAAAACACATTCTCCTTGGCTCTGCCTTAGTTGCTACATGTTATTATTAATGTCGTTATTTTACTTTTTAAAAAATAGTCGTTAATCATCTATCAGGCACAGGCACTTTCAGATACGTAGTCTTATTTAACCTCTGTATATTGCAAAGAGGAGATTATTAGCCCCGTTTTGCAGATGAGGAAACCAAGGCTCAGGGTTAAGTAACTTGTGGAAGGTCTCAGAACCAGTAAGTAACAAGCTGAGATTCAAACCCCATCTCTAACTTCAAACCAGAGTCCTAGCTGTGCTCTCTGTTGGCTGTGTGACTTTGGTTAAGCTGCTTTTGTATCTTGAACTATTACAAAACAGGGTATCAATAGGGCCTACCCCACAGAGGACTCATAAATAAAGCACTCAGAACTGTGCCTGACTTGGAGAAAATGCCATCGAAGTGTTGGCTCTTATGGTTACCATCATTATTGTTCCACAACTGCCTCTTTGGGCCCCCTTCAATTCACGTCTATAAGTGCATAGAAATATCCCGGTTTTAAACAAATAATAGTAGCTGGAACTGAGGAGTTTTCAGAAAGCTAAAATAGATCCCAGACATTCCAATTCAATTCTCTTCAATGTAATGCTTCAGACATTAATTGAGCACTGATTCCTTTCTGGGTGCTGAGCGATGATGCAAAGATGACAAAGTCCAGCTTTGATCCTCCAGCAGCTTAACCTCCTAGGGCAGGGGGGATGGGGGTGGACATGCACTGCAATAACCATAATTCAAGCTGGACTGTGATGGGTTAGAGTGAAGACTAAAGCTCAGAGAGCACAGAGGAGAGAGCAGCCCTTCTGAGCTAGGTGCGTCTAGGAAAGCTTTGTGGGGGTGGGAGCCTCTGGGCTTGGCCTTCTAGGATCCCTAGGACTTCTGTAATCTGGGATGGGAGCCTGAAGAGTATGGGAAGGAGGAAGAGCATTCAAGTGGGCTAAACAGCATGGGCAAAGGTGGGAAAAGACCTGCCCAGGAGACTGCAAGAGGTTTGAATTCAGTTCTAATTCATGATCAAGAAAGGGCTTTTCTATTTGAAGGTGACCTCTCTGGGTCTGGATAACAAGAATGATCTTGTTATCCAGAGGAAGTAAAAGAAGCTTGTTAAAATGTCTTGTCCCACTCTGAGTACAGTTTGCATTCAGAACTTCAACTGATTTGAAGAATCTTCTTCAAAATACCATGCCGGTCTGCTTTCAGTGGGAGGGTTTACGTTTTTAGTTCACTTGTTCTCTAAGGGTGATGACCTTTGTGGTACCTGGCTTTACGTGGGACTCTGAGCCTACACCCCATTCTAGCTGATGCAAGACATTGCCTTATGTGCCTGGCAGGAGGCCCAGGAAACTCAGGCTCTGACTCTCAGATATTGGCAGATGCCCTCGGAGTGGCCCAGTGACTTTAATGCTTGTTCAACTCCCCAGAGTCAGGCTCTCAACTGGTTCCTGGCCACAGAAAACTTTATTTCTGCTAAGTTCAGCCATTAACTTCGAAAGGTGTATTAAAATATTTTATCCAGCATCGTTAGATGTTCGATTCCAGGATATCCAATTGGCCATATAGATTACATCATTGAAAGTCTCAAGTATGCAGTTTTTTGAAGAAGGGCTCGTGGATCCTGTATTCCCTGAAGTCTTACATGCTTCTAACGACCAGCTGTTGTCCTTAAGCCTGAAGGATATCTGGC